AGAGAGGTTAAATTACCGAAGTCAAGTAGCAGTAGGATAGCAAAGCATGATATTCTGTCAGGTGACTTTCATTTCACTTCCTAATGATGACATTGGGTAACTCCAGTTTAGCATTATTAAACATGTTTATAGGCTGTCCACTTTTATGCCTTTTGGCATTGTTGCAAGTGTGTTAGGGTAAAAAGAATACTGTTGCATCAAAGGATATACATATTACTTTTTTAGTGGAAATTTCCAACAAAACCTTTAAAAGAATAATTCTAGTTATCCTTCCATACCTGCTCCTTTTTTCTTTCTTTCCTTTTATAATTCTCCACTACGGTAGCATGCTTGCACTCTCAGCTGTAAATTTTGAATAATGCAATTTGTTTGTAGTGGTTCCAGGTAGGTTGTTTAAATCTTGAGCTATATGCATAACACATAGCAGTTGTTAGAGGACATATTAAATGAATATTCAAGCTAAAGGGAGTCCTAGGTGAATAGATAGGTGCACACTGTTGAACTGGAGTGGGATGGTTAGTTAATAGGCAACTAAATCCATCTCAGAGGTAACCACTGCCATTTCTTTAACACTTTGTGTTATTTTTGTATTTTTTTAGTTTTTGCTTCTTGTTATCATATTTGTGACATTTATCCATGATAAATTTGAAAATAATTCATTCATTCTTGTATAGTATTCCTGAATGTGATCATTTTCTCCACTTTGTTATGGGTTCTTATGGGTTGATATGTTCTTTTCAACTTTGAATGATTGAACACCATTTTTAATGTCTCTGGGTGTGTGGTAATAAGCTTTCATCACTCTGACAAAAATATCTGATGAAAGCAACTCACTGGAGAAAAGGTCTGTATTATCATTTAAGAGGTTTTAGTCCACTTTGACTGGCTTCATTGCTTTAGCTGGATCAGGGTTGGGTGTATTGGTACTGTAGGTCCTATTGATGACATCTGATCAGTCGCTTTTCCAAAGAGCCTACAACACATAGGCTTTTGAGATATATTTCATATCTGAACTATAATAATGGATACATACATATATTTCTTACAATGAAATATTTTGTCAGGCTGGAGAAATGGCTCAGAGGTTTAGAGCACCGACTGCCTTTCTAAAGGTCCTGAGTTCAATTTCAAGCAACCACCTGGTGGCTCACAACCATCTATAATGTGATCTGGTGCCCCCTTCTGGCATGTAGATGTACATGCAGTCAAAACATTGTATACACAATAAATCTTTAAAAAATTTTGTCATAGGGTTGACAAATATTTGGTCTTATTCTTGTTAAACTGTTTTCAAATTGATCTTTTTTTTTTTTTTTTTTTTTTTTGGTTTTTCAAGACTGGGTTTCTCTGTTCTGGAACTCACTTCCTAGACCAGGCCAGCCTCAAACTCACAGAGATCCACCTGCCTCTGACTCCCAAATGCTGGGATTAAGGTTTGAACCACCACCACCCAGCTTGTTTTGAAATTGAATGTAACATTTTACCCCTACCAGCAATATATTAAAGTTCTATTTGTAACCCTTTTTGTTTGTTTGTTTTGTTTTGAGACAGGGTTTCTCTGTATAGCCTTGGCTGTCCTGGACTTGCTTTGTAGACCAGGCCTGCCTTGAACTCACAGAAGTCTGCCTGTCTCTGTCTCCCTGAGTTCTGGGATTACAAGTATGCGCCACCACACTTGGATTACTTGTACCCGTTTTTAGCAAGCACGTGTTGTCTTATATTTCTTATTTTAGCCAATTTGAGCTATAGTATGTTGATTATTCATTTTAATAGTAATGTTTTTCATTACTATTAACAAAATATCTGAAGCAGACCAACTTTATAAAAAAATGATTTATTTAGTTCTTAGTTCTGGAGGTCCAAAGTGGAAGAAATAGGAGTTGGGATTTGTTGGCCTCTGCCATAGACTTGGTAACCAATGACAACACTACATTGAAAGCATATGTGGGAGTCTCTCAAAAGAGTAAGCCAGAGGGCAATTAGGGATGAGGTTCTTTCCAACCTGCTTTTATGAGAATTCAGAAATCTGATGAGAGCTATCTGATGAGAGCTACCTTAATCTCTTCCAAGGACAATTTCTCTAATCACCGAGAGATTTCACCAGTCCTCATCTCTATTGTGGGAAGGGCTCACAACACTTCCCAACACTGCCACCATGAGGACCAAGCCTGCTATACAATAAACTTTGGGGACAAGCCATATCCAAAGGAGGATAGTCTCTGATAATGCCCAAAGCCAAGTATGCATTTTCACTTGGCAGTTTGATGCTTTCTTAAGTTTTTGAGATTGAGTTATCCTATAAGAATAGAGGAGAATTTTGTTTGCCTCTCATCTCCTCAGTGAAAATTTTTTAACAATTATTTTTATTTTCTGTGTATGAGTATCTTGCTTGCATTGTGTGTCTGTGTGCAAGGCATATGCCTGGCGCCTGTGGAGGCCAGAAGAGGGTGTTAGATCCCCAGGAATTGGAGTTAGAAATGGTTGTAATCCACCATGTACGTGCTGGGGACTGAACCTGGGTCCTTTACAAGAGCAGTGAGTGCTCTTGACCATGCACCGTTTCTCCAGTTCCCCACCCCCAGGGGATCTTAACAGGAGGTTCAATCAGACAAGACAGACACAAAGGAATATTTCTTTTGCTTCTTTGGAGACTAGGTTTATAGCCCAGGCTGGTCTGGAATTCACGGTAACCCAGGCTAATGTCAAACTCACAGCAAGCATCCTGCCTCATCTCCCAAGTGCTGGGTTCTAGGTATGATCCAACTAACATACCTGGCTAAAAGTAGCATTTCTTGAAAGGCAGTATAGTATGGGACCTAGACCCCTACATTAGGAAAGAATCTTTGTGACATTTAGTAAGTTAGCCATATTGCCATAGTGTCCTCTCTAAATTGAATGTAATAATAATGCTGCTATCATAATACAAGAATAAGATCGTTTTATGTCAAGTTATAGGACAATTCATGATGCATCACATCAGTGTGGTATTACTACACATTTTATAAATTTATTTCAAGTGAATTGACAGAATAGTGGAGTTCTTCTCAAATGCATTTCAAACCGAAGTGTATGAATGATACTTGGCTTTTATTTTAGGCTTGGTATTTCTTTTTGTTTGTTTGTTTTGGGTGTACATTATGATGAAAATATTGATTAATAGGGCTTAGTTAGTCTAAAGGTACTTGCTACCAAGCCTGAGTTGAGTTCAATTCCACCGGACCCATGTAGTGGAAGGAGAGAACCAATTGCAGCAGGATGTCCTCTGACCTCCACAAACTACTGTGGGATACATGTGAACCCTCCCGTATACACAGAACATATATAGAGGTAACAAAAATTGTGAAAGAAATAAAATTTAAGTAATTAGTGTATGTGTGTGCGTGTGTACATACACATGTTTGCGAGCTACTGTGTGTGCGTACAAGTGTCTTTGGAGTCCAGAAGAAGGCATCAGAACCACTGGAATTGGACTTACTGGCAGGTGTTGGTGCTAGGAACTGAGCCTGGGTCCTTGTAAGAGCATTAAGTGCTGAATAAATGCCATCACATAAATAAATGCCATTATACTTTTTTCTTACTAATCAAAATATTTATTTTGAAAAATTTGTTACTAGATAACTACAATTTGCATGTATTTCCTAGGTTTTTTTCTTCATATATTCTTGTTTTAAATGAGCAACAACACAAATTTTCAGGTTTCACCATCTGTTGTGTTATTCTAATGCATCTGTATTGTTAGTGGCTTATTCTTGCTTTAGGCCACAGCCTAAAATCAACAGTAGACGTGCTCATTACCTGCCTGGAGTAAGAAGGGGCACTCCGCAAATGCTGTGGAACATGGTGTGAATTTAATGAGCCAAAGACATACAGGCCTGAGTTACAAACAAACTGCAGTAAAAAAAAGTGTGAGTTCTCAGGAATAACGACGTATTCCTAAGACATTCCAACAAATCCTGGTAGGCAAATGTATACAAACCCAAAACTTGGCAGCATGTTAATGTTTTATTTGGTACTTCACACGTAAACGTGCAGCATATACACATGTTTATGTGATTTGGAGTGGAGTTCGTAGGAGTGGAGTGACAGCTCTGCTCATGTGCAGACACGTAGGGAACACTTCCAGTTAACCATGGCTTTCCAGCACAAGCACTGTGACTATCTGCTGCCCTTAGCCACAGCGGGCTCCTTTAGCTGCCTGGTCAACCCTTGCCTTGTAGCTCTGGTTTACTGTAGCAGCAGTTTCTCTGGGACTTGCTCAGTAAAGGTCAGCCCAGTGTCTGAATTACTTCTATTTTCTGTCAGTCTCCTTGAAAATCCTATTCTGACAACTTGTTTCTCTGAATCCAAACTTTTCCCTTTTTGTTTTGATATATTTAAAGCGTTTTGTGAACCTGCTCCGCATCAGTGCACTTCACAAAAGCTACCAGCAGAGGGAGCTAAATAAAAGAAGATGAGTCCCTGAAAGCAAGAAGCCTCAATTGAAGCAGAGAATACTTAAAAGTGAGGTGTCCTCCTGCTAGTTCTGAAAAAAAAGAGCTCAGTACTCGAAAATAGTTGAAATCAACCATCTGGGATCTGACACAAGTTTAAGATATGTGATTTTTGTTTTTAAATTCTCTATCATATAAAAAGCTGTAAAAGGATGATCCGATACGTGTGTGTTACAGAACCTCTCTAGCATTGTACTCTTTTCTCAGAGGATGGTGAAAGGTGGTCACTTTGTGCAGAATCTCACAGAGAGTCCTCGACTAAGGCTAAACTTGCTAAAACTTATGGATAACACACAAACTTTTTTTTTTTGGGGTGGGGGGTTTCCAGACAGGGTTTCTCTGTGTAGCACTGGCTGTCCTGGAACCCAGAGATCTGCCTGCCTCCGCCTCCTGTGTGCTGGGAGTCAAGGTGTGCACCACCAACGCCGGCTACCCCACATTTTAAAGACAGACTTTTAAAAGTAAATTTCTGGTATTTGTTTTGATTAAGTATATGTATCTTGATTGCAGTTAGCAGACTTGAAGAAAGAGAAGCAGAACTGAAGAAGGAATATAATGCACTCCATCAGAGACACACTGAGGTGGGTGTCCGTTGTTACTATCTTAATATTAGCACAGAAATGGACTTGTTAAGTCTATATTTTCCTTTGAAAACTGGAATAATTCATAGTCATCATTCCACAAAATACTGGATATCATGTGGCATTTATCAAAGTTGACTTTTATACTTTTAAAATCTAGAATTACATATCCATGTAGAAAATTTATTAGAAAACTATTATGAAATAGTTTATTTAAGACAGTTCCTTAGTTGGTTAGCAAAACCTTTGTGCACATGGTAAATATTTACATGATGCTGAGAAAATTGATTTGCTACCAGTTTGGAAAATACTGCATTGGTAAGATATTGGTATAGAGCTCTGCATTTATATAATTTAGTTGTAAATTTATAATACCTTAAAATGTATTTTAAATGACTGTAATTTTGGCAACTTATTATTTTGAGATTATCTATATACTAATTTTTAGATATTTATTTTTTATTTTTGGTGTATGGGTGTCCTGCCTGCTTGTCTGTGCATCACGCAAGTGCAGTGCCTACAGACACCAGAAGAGGTCATCAGACCCTCTGGAACTGAGATACACAGTTAATGGCTGTGAGAGGCTCGCCAATGCTAGCAACTGAACCTAGGTCCTCTGGAAGAAGAGCCAAGGTTTTTACTGCTGAGCATCTCTCCAGCCTTCTTTAGTATTTTAAATTGGTATTTGCAGCATATAATCCCCTAGTAACCCTTGTTTTTAAGAGTCCATCAATCTTTATTATGTTGTATTTGTTTCTGTCTTGTCAGTGTGATGATTGTTATTGTGTGTTATGGTCAGTCTGGAATTCACATACCTCCCCTCCCTCCCCTTTTCTCTCTCTATTTCTGTCTCTTCTCTCTTTCTCTACCCTCCCCCACCCCTTGCCTTTCCTTCTTCCTTCTTCTTTCTGTAGCCCTGGCTTACCCTGGAATACATCATGTAAGCCAGGCTGGCCTTGAACTCACAGAGTTTTACCTGCCCCTGCCACCAGTGTTGGGATTAAAAGTGTGTGCCATCACCACTCATGGCCATTTTCCCTTTACTAATGCTGTTTTATGTTATACCGGAGTCTAGGCTTAGTTTTTGTTTGTTTGTTTGTTTGTTTGTTTGTTTGTTTAGTTTTTTGAGACAGGATTTCTCTGTGTAGCCCCAGCTGTCTTGGAACTAGCTCTGTAGATCAGGCTGGCCTCAAACTCAAGAGATCCACCTGCCTCTGCCTCCCATGAGCTGGGATTAAAGGTGTGCACCACCATTGCCCAGCTTGATTCTAGTCTTTACCTATTTTTCTAGGGTCTTGCTCATGTTCCCACAGTCCTGTTTGTAGACTTCAGTTCCTGTTTTTCTTCCATTGCTTTGTAACCTATCTGCCTATGGCAGGGACCAATGTTACTGCTTTTAAGCATCATAAAATTGTATTAGACTGAATTTCATTTGCCTTTGAATAATGTAGAATTTTTTTTCCCACTTATGGGATTGGGGTTGTATTACTACCTGGAACACAAACTGTCATAATTGATAGCCAGGAGTAGAAGGAAAAGTTTGATCACAAAGGATCATAAAGCCCTGGGAGGATAGGAGTAGGTTACTTAACAGTTTTTAAGTATGTTAAAAATACCCATGTTTTGGGGCTGGAGAGATGGCTCAGTGGTTAAGAGCACTGTCTGCTCTTCCAAAGGTCATGAGTTCAATTCCCAGTGACCACATGGTGGCTCTCAACCATCTATAATGTGAACTGATTCCTTCTTCTGGTGGGTGTAAATGTAGATGGAACACTCATATATGTAAAATAAACAAATCTTAAAAAATACCCATGTTTTAATAAATATTGTTTACTAGATATTAAGGGTATTTTCTTTTTACACTGTTGATTTCAGTACCAGAGTAAGGTCCTGCATGTAGTGTTTACTTTATTGCTTATCAGTCATGATAATTATAAAATATAGTTGGAGGAATATGTTTAAATGTCTTAAGTAATTAATAGTAATAAATGAGGTTTTAAAAGTAATGTTCTTTTATAATAATTGGAGATTATTAAATTGCGACATAATATTAAAGTATATTTAAATTATTTATGTTTTTTAATGTATACATTCTTGAAAGAAAAAATATAAAGTGAAATTTCATTTTCCTAATATCTGTTCAATAAAAGTGAAGATAAATTTATATAGAAATTTAAAAACCTGCTATCAGTTTCCTACAAAATGGTATAACAAGTTTTCTATCTGTTCCCATGCCTTAAGAGATGTACGCTATTGGATGAAAAATGGTCTCAAGAAAGCGTCATTACCAAGCCAGAGGTCTTGGCTTATCCAGTCATCAGGCAACTTTGCCCTGCTGGCTGACAGCTCTCTTACAGGATTCCCTTCTTCAGTTACAAAAGACTTCTATCTTTTGCCCTGTTAAACTCTTAATTTGTTTGCCTCAAAGTAGGCTTATGTAACACAGATAAGGCTGCTTTGAAATGTGAGTCGTTCACTATGAACTAAAGTTGTCTGTTTATCCATTTACTATGGAGACTTTGATCAGTTAGCAAGAATAAAAAGCTCTGAAATCTTTTAGGGTACCTTTCAAAAGTGAGCTTCAGAGAATAGGACTCCATAGTCTATTTATGGTTACTTCCAAGGAAAGTAGCATTTTTCACAGACACAAAATTATATTAATGTTACCTTGACCAAACACACTGTTTACTGCTAACAATGGGAAACACATTCTTGCTCTTTTTGAAAATGTGAATGACCATTTTTAATCAAATAATGAATTTGTGTATATTAGTGAATTTACTTAAAAGAATAACACCTTGCTATACTTGGTATATGTGGTAGCCTATATTTATAATCTACTGCATCAGCACTTAGAGATTGAGGGGCCAACCTGGAGTAGTGAGTTCTAGGTATTCAACAAGACCCTTTGTCATAAAGCCAACCACTAACTAACTAACTAACTAACTAACTAACTAACTAACTAACTAACTAACTAACTAACTAACTAACTAACTGTATTAGTTTCCCAACAAAGCAGTTTAAGTAAGGAAGTGTTTACTTTGGTTCATTTCCAGGTTACAGTCTCTGGTGGCATAAAGCAGCTGGTCATGGTACAGACAGACAGCACAAAGCATGTCTATGCTCCACTAGCTTTCCCTCATTTGTGCAGTGGGATATCCAAGTCCATGGAATGGTGCCACCTACATTTAGGGTAGTTCTTCCCTCTTCAGCTAATCTGCACAGTCCTTCACAGGTGTGCCAGAGGCTTGCTTATACCGTGTTCTAGATCTTTTAAAGTTGATCGTGTTTCCAGCACGTTGTCTGCTGACTGACTAAAAGAAGACAAACTTTAAAGAGCACACAGGGATGGGGAGGGGGTGGTTATTATAGCGCATTAGGATCACATGTGTTGTTTTCTTATGCTAACCACTCACTACACACGTGAACTTTGTGCATTGCTGAGAGAGTTTCAGATTTAAGTGCATTCTTAATCTTCTCCTTGGCCAACTTATCATCTCTCCTATTTTACACTTTGAAATTTTTAGAAAGATATTCTAGGGTGATGTGCCCCAAATCCTTTGCTAGTTAGTAACTAGATCTGAAACTGTCTCCCTGATTCCATGCTTTTCGGTTTCTCCTATGCTGTGCATGTGTGCCTATATTATGTATATGGATATTTTTGCCTGCATGTATGTCTGTGTACCACTTGTATATCTGATACACACTTTGTTGTTGTTTAAGACAAGGTGCCATGTAGTTTAAGCTGGTTTAAAAAACTTGCTATATAGGTGGGGATGGACTTTTGAACTACTCATTTTGCTGCCTCCATTTCTGTGTGCTAAAATTACAGATAGATGACCCACACCAGACCTGATTTATAGGTTACATAGGCTGAATGCTGTATATGTTTTTCTGAGCTTTTATGTCCCACAGACTCCCACTGATTTTAGAAAAATAGCTTTGAGTACTGCATGTCGAAAGATTTAAGGTGACCAAAATCAAAAGACTAAAATCCATGCTCTTGTTGCTTTGCCTTTTGGTTTTGTCAGTGTTGAAGTCGACCTTTGCTGTGAAGCTAACTCAGTGAAGGACAGGTGCTGCCTGTCCCAATTTTCATATAGTATAGTTGGAATTCTTCTTGGTGACTCCAGCTGCTACTGAACTTACTTCTAGATATGTGAATTAATTTGTATACTGGGAATGTGATAGCTTTATCTGAGATGGAGGAGGACTAAAATTGGTAGACTCAGTAGTGCCATGTCTAAAAAATGCCTTGTTCCGCTCTCATCTTTTTTCTGTCTTGAGTGCTGGTCCCCTGCCCCCCTTAACCAACCCTTTAAAATCACAATCATCCTGTGAATCATTACTAAAATTTAAAAGTTTATGTGCAGCATATTTTTTCTTCTGTTTGTGAGATATAGCCTGTTATTGTAAATATCAGGAAATGTTTTAGGGTGTGGGATTTTCTTGTGGGTGTGAGGAAGAAAAGACAATGAGTTCATTGCTTGCCTGGAGGGTTAACTAACAGGGCAGAGGCAACATGGGTCCTACAGTGTTCACTCATGTAGTTGCAGAAAACAGATTCGAGTCCAGCTTTCAAGCTAACGGCAGAAAACAGGTCACTTTCAGCTAGATAGTTCACTTAGGCAAGTTATTTTATCCTGTAGCTGAGGTTTATTTGTAAAATTAAATCAGAAATAGTTCTGTTAAAATGGTTGGCATTTTTTTAGTATGATAGCTGCTGTTTTGTTGTTCCTCTGTCCTGGTAAGGGCTGCTTTAGTGTGCTCTGTATTTTCATATTGGACCGTTTTGGAATGCCAGGACATTATCTCTGTAATCAGTCGTTTGAAGATTCCAAATGTAGCATTGCCTAAATTTTAAATATTTAGGCATTTGAGATAGAGTATCAATCTAGACTAAGCTATTTGGATGTAAAGTTGATCTTATCTGTATATTTTGCTTACTATATATTATTGAATAAATTAATTACTATAAAAGCAATCTGGAGGAAGTTTCCGTTTTCATTACATTCTTTCGTTTGAACAAATCACCTCTATATTATTACTATCCAGATATGAGAACTCAACCAAGGCTTTCTAAAACATTTTTGACAATCTCATTTACATATATTAGGCCCAACATTCACTTTGCTGTATTAGTCTCATTTTAATTTTTTTGAAGTTTCTTCTTGATACAAGAAGAAAGCAGCTCATTAGTTCTGATTTGCTGACACAACCAAAAATTTTTATGGAAAAAAATTTTTAAATGGTATGGAAGAGAAAAGTAGACATTTTAAATAAAACATGTAGATGTCCTTGTGATCTGTATTCATATTTGTTACCTGTTAACATTTTTTATTTGGACTAGCCTTTTAAGTTTTTATATGTGTGTGTGCGCGTGTGTGCGTGCATGTGTTTGTGTATATGTGAGTTCCCATGGAGACCACTTAGCCTTTTCAGCTCTTGAACTAGTGTTTTTGAAACTATTTTTAAAATTATATCTCTGTGCATGTGTGCGTATGTGTGTTATATGTTGAGGTCAGAGAACAACTTGTAATCTCTTCCTTCTACCATCCGAGTCCTGAGGACTGAACTCACCCCATATTCAGCTTTTATATCGTGTTTTCTTATGTCTGACTCAGAATTAATGTATTTTTTAATTTTAATTTTATTTCTATTCATTACTATTATTAGAACTGATTATATTAAATACTGATGTTAGTAAAATAGCACAGAAGGTAGTATTTTGGAATTCTTTCAACTATAAATCTGTAGAAATAGTTAAAATAACACTTTAAATTAAATTGAAATTTATTTTTACTCTGGTAATTACTTTTAGTGTGGAACAATGAACACAGATATTTTTTCTTAAGTTTGGCATTAATTTCTTTGTTTCCCATTTCAAGTAACCAGGTCTCTCAAATGCTATGATTTTTTTTTCTTAATCAATAGTCTCTTAGAACCGCCTAACAATCTCTATGTACTAATGTGTTATTTATACCAATATTTTTCATTTTATAATGTATATATAATGTTTATATTTTAATATTACTATACTAGTATTTTCAGTTAATGTTTTTCATTTCATCACACATACAAAATTGTTTGCAATGCAAAGCAAGATATTAGCTAAGTTTACTGAATTTAGTATCTTATATGTAAGCATTTGCATATTCCTTTGCTATTACAAATCTTTCAATCCTTAATACTTATTCCTTTACATAAAATTGAGTAATCTTGTAAGAAAGTTGTACCAAAATGTTTCCTTTGTTCTAATTCTGTGTTTTATTTTAGGTGATAGCGTTAAATTTTGTATCTATTTTTTTTCTTTCTCAAAATAGATGATCCATAATTATATGGAACACTTAGAAAGAACCAAACTTCATCAGCTCTCAGGGAGTGATCAACTAGAGGCTACAGCTCATAGTAGAATTAGGTAAGCTTTGTTATATACTTTTGCCTGACAAAATGTGAATCAGTAATCCATCTTTTTGCTTTTGTCTTTCCTGTTTTTAATCTGGAAACAATAGTTAGCCGGCGCCCCAAAAATCTCTCAGGGAAAGGAAAGAATAGCATGCAAAAATAGAAATGCCACTGGAAAGGTTAAAGAATGAGCTTCATAAATTATAAGCAGCATATTGCAGGATTTTAATTATTTTTTGATACTTGGTTGGAAATCAGAGTAGGTTTGAAGTTTTCCAGTTTGTGGGTATGCTGAAAAATTACATTTCTTCCGTGTAATTGGTCCTTTTCGTTGCAGAGAGCCATGTTTAAAGGGCTTAGCTAGCCATCTGTTTGATGTAGGAGTGTGAATAAATTATGTAGATCTCTAGGTATTGTAGCCAATGAGCTAAGCCAAGACTCTTAGTGGAGAGGAACGTAGTTAATAGGCTGGCTGTCCTCTGGGTTGCTGCATAAATGCTAGGAGCAGCAGCTCTATGCTTATGAGATGGGGAGAGCGGAATGACGTCATCACTTGGGAGCCGCTGCAGGATGGAGTGGAAAGCTGCTGCTGATGGCATTGTTTTTGTGGCAGCAGCTGAATGACAGATCCTCACTACAAAGATACCCCGTTGGCCCCCGTGTAGGCCTCCTGGTTCGGACGTTTCACCATGCCAGCACAGCGCCATGAATCCTGGATGCATGCTGCTGTTTGTGTTTGGCTTTGTTGGCGGGGCGGTGGTCATTAATTCTGCTATCTTAGTGTCTCTCTCCGTTTTGCTGCTTGTGCACTTTTCTATTTCTACCGGTGTGCCAGCGCTGACGCAGAACCTACCAAGGATACTCAGGTACTCCATCCAGTCTCTCTTGGAAGCTTCCTGCTTCGCTGTGGGCTTTATTTTGGTTTTGGGTTTTGGGTTTTGGATTTTTTTTCCATTCTTAGCACCATGGGTCTGCTTTGTAACCATTTCTGTTGCAGATTCAAACAATAGAAAACGGCCTCAAGCTAGGATGGCTATTATTTTATAGGTTCCTGAATGGAACCCTGTTTTTGTGTTTGGAAATTACAGACCGAAAAAAAAAAAAAAAAAAAAAAAGGATTCTCTGTTGTACTTGTAAATATAAGGTCAGTATGGTCTGAATGTTGAAGAGTAAGAAGAGCAGGAGCTGAGTATTGGATCCAAGTTTGTATGGCTCTGGGTTTAGCTTCTGAGCTATTTGAGGGACAAATAGCTTTTATGCTGGGTGTTGCAAGTGGTTAGCCACAGAATATAGGTTAATTTTGTGTGAGTTATCCTTTGCCTGATGAAGGTTTACTCTCAGTTTTATAATTTTAACTTCAGCTTATGGGGACCGATACATATTCTCCTGCTAATATAAAATATATTTTAAGCTAAAAAAAAAATCTAAATTCTTAAGACAAGAATAGAATGCCTTTCCTTCATTATTCTCACATCAAAGTTGTGAAAGCTTTACAAAGCCTATTCACTATTGTTTGGTCAGATGTCGTGCTTTCTTTTCTTTGTACTCCTGTGTGACAAATACCCATGCCTGCTTGTGGGGGTGGTCATCAGCCTGTGCAGCTTTGCTGATTTTCTCTGCTTGTGGCCTGTGTGAACCACCTTCCACATCTTAACTGTTAGGTTTGCTTTCTTGTCTATTATCTCACGAACTCAAAAGTGTCTGAGTTGTTCAGTAAAATCCCAATTCAGATTTAGGCAGAAAAATGGAAGTAGTTCCTTTTCTGTGGTTGTTTTTATTCATAGGCCAGTTCATATTCTATTTTAACACTCCTGTATGGTCTAAAACTAGGTACTTGATCATTTATTTTCTTTCCTTATTTATTTATTTTTTTAAAGGTCATGTAGTCTAGGCTGGCCTTGAGCCCTACAGGAACAGTCTCCCTTTCAGTGCTGTTCACTTTCCTGAAGTATAAAAATGAGGAACAATCTGACTATTTTGTATATATTAGTACAGAAAAGAGTTGTGCACAAGTTTGTGTGTACTTAGGATGTAAGGAAATTAAAAACTTGTAGACTCAAAAATATATATAATATTAATATACGACTAATACTAAGGGCTGCTTTAGACTTAGGCTTTGTCGGAAAAGCACTGCCATGCATTGGCTAAGACTTTGGAGCTGCACTGTCCCATGTATGCAGCCCTGGAGCCTTTGGCAATTTCCTTAATCTATTAGTTTGCACCTCTTAAGCTATTTATCTCAGTGACTGATTTAAAAAAAAAAAAACAAACAAGTGAGCTATTATTTTGTGCTTCATTATATTTGCAAAATATATGGTCCATTATATAAGTACATCAACTACACAGTTATTTGTATATTTTTACATTTTTAATAGAACTGGTTCTTATCTCAATCCTGCCAGTTACTATTATATAAAGTTTTGGAACATCATTTTTCCAATTCTAAAATCTGGGAACACAGTTCCTATTTCCTGGTTGGTTTGATTAGGTAAAGTAAATCAGTCATCTGGCTCAGTCCTTTGAGTATAGCCAAGAGGCTATTTGAAATGTGTATTTTCAAAATCAGTTATACATATAGGCTAATATTTAAGTAGCCAACAAAAAATCAGTACATGCAACTAAAGCTACTAGCTAGAGAATATAACAAAGATGCTGATACTTGCCAGCTTTGCTTTTAGGGATTAAAATGGCTGGGCAATGATAGCAAGTGTTTTAGTTTAGGGATTTGAATCTGCCACTTGGTATTTTTCTACAAGCTACCCATTTTTTGGTTTACTTTTTTGTTACCTTTATTGAAGAGTTTAATACAGACAATACCAAATATGCACACCAACAAAGTTCAAGACTAGTGTTTGCCTTCCAAGAATTTTGTTTTGAGAGTAGAATACTGTCAAACTTATGTAACTCTACATCTTGCACCTAGAAATTATCTAATTGATGAATACACAGAGGAACATATGGTGATAATAGTTTTCTAGAGCTGGAGCAGAGAAAGGAGAGGCAACTTATTTTCCTCCTTCCTAGAGATTTGTTTCTCTGAAAAGTGATAAAAAAAAAGCAAAATACAGAGATGGGAATTTTACTGTTATTTTGGATTGTATCGATGCAACATGAAGTAAAACTTGGGTTTAAAGAAGACTCTTTGGTCAGCTGTTTAAAATGTGTTCAGTATTCCATATATGTAGAAAGGTGTTTATATGGGAAGATGATTCTAATGACTGACTCATATCTCAAGTTTTGTTAGAGTCCATGTGATGGATTCTCATGAAATCTGTGTTATCTTCTTAGCTTTATATTAGACACACTGATTAAATCCCTGCTTGCTTTTTTACTTTAAATCCCTGCTTGCTTTTTTACTTGGGGCATGAAAACTTGTTAGAAACTAAAGTCAAATAGTAGTTTGGGAATTTCTGTTCCCAAAATATGTTTTCCAAAATTGGGAATAGACATCAGGCTAACATGTTTTCATTAAAGAAAAACAAAAACTTGCTATTGTTTAATGAGGGGAAAAAAAGAGGGTAGTGACTTAAGAACAAAGAAGCAGAACCAATGTAGTTTAAAGTAAGAGCTAATAATGTCAAGAAACAAGTTCTGTTGCCTGGAAATATAAACATGAAATATGTACTGTATAGTCCATTAAGAAAAAAATAAAACCTTCTTCTAAAACAGTGGACTAGTGTTTATTTTGTTTCAAAATTGCTTTTATTTCTTTATTATGAGAGTGTATGTGTTTGTGGAGATCAGAAGACAGCCTGGAGGAGTTGCTTCTCTCCTCCTGCCACAAGGGCACTCAGCTTGTCAGCCTTGGTGGCAGTGGCCTTTATCCACTGAGTCATTCCTCCAGCCTTGGGGTTTTTTGTTTGTTTTGTTTTGTTTTTGTTTTTGAGACAGGGGCTAATGTAAAACAGACTGGCCTCTATCTTGCTTTGTAGTAAAGGATGGCCTTGAACTCCTCTTAAGTGCTGGGACTGTAGGTACGCACCACCACTCTCAGTGAAGAAATGTTTGAAAAGAGCTGCTCTTTTCTTCCTGGCAGTAGTTGTCTTATCTATACTTTGCCTAACGGAACTAATATAGTATGGTTTGTAGAAAAACAGAACTTTGATTAAAAAAAAAAACAAAAAACCCTCTTTGAATTTTTACTGTTGAATAATATCCCTGTTTCAAAGAGTGTGTTCATTTTCCCTTAGGCAGAGAAAGCCTACCCTAAAAACACTGTAGCTTGGGGAATCGGGAGAACTAGGAACAAGGGACTGGGGAGGTTGCCTTTGCCTGCTCCTCATGACTGCTAACCTACATGATCAAAACTCAGCTCTTCTCCATGGTTACTAGACCAGACCACCAAGGCTGGATGGAGCATCTCCAGTTCAGGGTCAGACCAGGCTAAATACTGAGACATCATCTCTAAACAACTCCAAAACAGCCAGCTGAAACCAGTATCTAAACAGTTTCTCCACACTTCTCTTAGTTTCTGGGGCAATGTAAACTCTTGAGACTGTCCTTTCTCTTTAGTCTATACTTATTCAGGTGTGCATACAGTATTATTTAGGAGTGCTGATTGCAAACCAATGAGACTCAGCTTCCCAGCTTCCCATGGCCGGGGAAGACCTTGACCTTTTTATCCTCCTGTCATCTTCCAAATAGCTGGGATTACAACTCTCTTCACAGCCCAGGATCCTAACTTACAATCATGGCAAATGAAAAACTAAGATGAAATTTTTTCCTCCTCTCTTTAAATAGAAAAGAACGTCCTATATCATTAGGGATTTTCCCTTTACCTGCTGGAGATGGATTGCTTACACCTGACACTCAGAAAGGAGGCGAGACCCCAGGATCAGAGCAATGGAAATTTCAGGAATTAAGTCAACCACGTTCTCATACCAGCCTGAAGGTAAGCTTTATCAGTATGTTTTATAATCATTCTTACTCAAATAGAAATAGCAGAAAACCAAAGGTTTTCTGGCCAGTTTAGTACTGGCCAGATAGTTTACTGGGTGAGAGTGCTTGCCACTAACCCCGACAAGGGTTCATACTCAGGACCCGCATGGTGGAAGGAGAGAACCAACTCCTGATTACCCTCTGACTTCTACACAACTGCCACAGCTCCAGTTCACCTCCGCTCACCCCACACAAATAAATAAATAAAACCTAAATTTAAAAAATATAATAGTTTATATACAGTTTAATTTGAAGGTTATCTTAAAAACAAACAAAACCTAGATGAGCTCTTTCCAGGTTGTATGGTTTTGCTAGTTAATTTTAAGTTATATAGAAAAACAAAACCAAATACTGTTACATCTTTAGCTTAGTTAAGGTTACTATTGCTATGATGAAACACCAGGACCAAAGCAACTTGGGGAAGAATGGATTTATTTGGGTTGTACATCACTTTATCATTGAAGAAAGTCAGGGCAGGAACCTGGAGGCAGGATCTGATGCAGAGGCCATGGAGGAATGCTGCCTACTGGTTTGCTACATATGACTTGCTTAGCCTGCTTTTTTATAGAACCCAGGGCCACCAGCCCAGGGATGGCACCACCCACAATGGGCTGGGCCCTCCAACATTAATCACTAATTAAGAAAATGCCCTACAACCCTGCCTATACCCAGATTTTAATGGAAGCATTTTCTCAATGTAAGCTCCCTCCTTTCTGATTGCTCTAACATGTCAAGCTGACATAAAACTATACCAGCACAATCTTGCCCTAGTATACTAATGACAAGAATTTTATATTTAGTCTATGTAATGTGAATCTAGAACTTAGGGTGCAGTGACTTGTGGACCTAATTGGGATTTTGTTTGTTCGTGTTTGGTTTTTATTTTTATTTTGTTTTTGTGGTACTGGGGATCAACTTAGGGTGTTCTTGTTGTTGTTTGTTACTGCTTTTTGGATCTTATATCCAGAAAGTCTAGCAATTTATTTTTAGTAGTATTGTTGGTGGTGGGGCACATCTGTGGAAGTCAGGGGACAACTTTTGGGAATTCTTTTTTTCACTGTAGGTTCTAGGAATAGAATTCAAGTAGTCAGGCTTATACTGAATGCACTTCAGCCACTGAACCATCTTGCTAATCCTCAACTCTGGGCTGGGAGCATAATCAAAATTTCATGTGTCTGTGTACCAGCTTGTTGTCTATATGTGTCCCACCTGGATGCAGTGCCTGTGAAGGCTATAAGAGGGCACTGAATCCCCTGGAACTGATGTTACCGGTAGTTGTAAGCCACTCAGTGTGGGTGCTAGGAATGGGACCCAGGTCATCTTCATGGAGCCACAAGTATTTTTAATCACTGAGCCATCTCTCCAGCCCTTCCTATTATTTAATTGAAAATTACTGCCATCTAAAAATCCTTGGTTCACACTTTAGTAGGGCTTTACTTTATTATATTTCTCATTAATGAGAACCAGAGTCTCACATGAAGCCCGGATTGACCTTGAACTCAATATAGTCCTCCTACCTCAGCCTTCCTTCAAAGTGGTAGGATTGCAGGTGTGCCCAGCACACTAAATTATAATTTCACTGAAAGAAAATACATTTTTCCTTCTTTAAAACTACTTTATGAAAGTGATCTATAAAATGGATTGTGTTTAGCTAAAAAGACCTAGTGTTAACTTTTTAGAGAGTATATTTTGATCTAGAACAATTCAGTGAATAATTGATAAATGTAATTAATAAGGTATTCTAAGAAGAGATACATTGGTAATACTCAAATGTTTTATTTTGGGTTTGTTTGTTTTGTTTTGTTTTGAGACAGGGTTCCTCTGTGTAGCCTTGGCTTTGTAGACCAGGCTGGCCTCGAATTCACAGAGATCAGCCCACCTCTGCCTCCCTGAGTGCTGGGATTACAGGCATGTGCCACCATACCTGGCCATTCAAAAATGTTTTTAAGGTAGTCATGATTGCATGCAGCTATAATTGTAGCTAATAGGTTGGCTGAAGCAGGAGGTTTTCAGTCAATTTGATTTGCAATCGATGTAGCTAGCATAGGCTGCCTTTGAAGACAACCTCTACTACAGAGTGAGATCCTATCTCAACATTAGACAGAGAAGGGGAGAGGAAGAGAACACTATCATTTGAGCTTCTCATCTTGGTTTTCATATGAGACAGGAAGTGGAGGAGGCTGGCGTGTTGGCATGTGTGTGTGTGTGTTCACTCGTGCTTATGCCCTGGATGGTGCCGGTGTGTACTACTCACTGTTCCCCAACTCTTTACATGGTTGCCGCAGTCTTTCTCATTTCTCCTGAGAACTTCGATAACGACCTAGCTATGTTTAGGCCATGCTTTGACTTCACTGTGAAAAGAATAATCAAAGGTCATGATTATAAGTGACTTTAATTTTGCTAGAACATTTTTTTGTTTTTTGTTTTTCGAGACAGGGTAATAGCTCTGGCTGTCCTGGACTCGCTTTTTAGACCAGGTTGCCCTCAGACTCACAGGGAACAGCCTGCTTTTGTCTGCCAAGTACTGGGATTAAAGCTGTGTGCCACAACAACAGGCCTACCACTTTTTTTGAAGTAAGATTAATATGAGAATGTTCTATGGTAAAAATCACATGATGAGTTTTAAACAGTGTAATAGGAGGCAAAAAAAACTTTGATGGAAGAATGTACAAAGGAGATTTGCTGATGATGTTAAAGTTTTAAACCTTCTTTTTTTGATGTGTTGAAAATATCCTGGTGTGAGAGATCTGTCAATGTTGCAAGAATCCTGAGAGTTTCTGAGAGTTGTGCACCTAAAACTGTTTAAAAAAATTATGTATTTATTTATTATGTATACAGTGTTCTGCCTACACACCAGAAGAGAGCACTAGATCTCAGTATAGATGATTGTGAGCCACCATGTGGTTGCTGGGAATTGAACTCAGGACCTCTGGAAGAACAGCCAGTGTTCTTAACTACTGAGCCATCTCCCCAGCCCCTAAGTCTTTTTTTTTTTTAACATATTTCCTAATACACTTTTTCAGAGGTAGACAAGTAAATGATAGAATTTCAAGTATTGTTTGTATCATAAAGAAAGCAAAGTAAAACTGGGTGTGATGGCGCTTGCTTTTAATCCCAGAACTTTAGAGGCAGAGGCAGGTGGATCTCTGAGTTCAAAGCCAGCCTGGTCTACAAAGTGAATCCAGGACATCCAGGGCTATACAGAGAAATAAAAAAGAAAAGAGAGAAAAAAAGATATATACAACTATGAAGATGTTACAGTGTAATCTATTTATTAATATGTGATAATCATAGTAAAAAGGTTAGAGAATAATTTGTAGAGAAAGATGCTATTTTGGGGTAATTGTGGGAATGGGCAAGTAAGTGGGAATATTCTACAAAAGAAGTTATATGAGGAAGACACAATAGCAACAACAATGCTGTGTATTGGGGCCATAGTTGGGAATGTTTGGGGAGTAGTTTCTCTTTATCCTTTTCCTCTCATACCTTTCTGAAGCACCAACATACCTTTGGTTAAGCTGACCCCAGACATTCTACTTGCAAACCTTAGTGGAAAATTCAGTCCTCACCTTGCCTTTTTTTTTAAATCATTTATCGATTTGAGTATATTCAGGTTCTTGAAAGGCTTCCTTCAGTTTGCATGGTAGAATGGCTTCATCTCCCACTTGCTCTTTCTTCTCTGTTAGTTTCACTTCTTTTGAGTCCTCTAAATACTGGAGAGTCAATACTTAAACTGCTGCACCTTTCCTAATCTAGTTGGTTCAAGTTCCATGTCTGAACATTGCTGTTCCCAAGTTTATCTCCAGCCATGACTCCTTTCCTGAACTCTAGGTTTTCTACACCCAGTTGCATTTCTGGATTATATTAAAGTTTTACCCTGCCTTAGTTACTGCCACAAACATGCCCTTTCAAGACCAACCCCAAGAACCACAGTTTACATGAAGCCTTCCTCTTGGCTCTGTGTCCCTTCCCTCAGCCCCTACCCTTTCTTCTTTTCTTTCTTTTCTTCCTGCTCCTCCAGGGTCTTGCCCAGGCTGGCCTTCTCCTTCAGTACCCCTCTGCACCATTGCTGACACTGGATTAATATCCTCAAAGCAAAATTTTGAGACAAGTACAAGGAGGAAAATGGAAGTTTTATATTTTATCATTAACTGAACTCTCTTACTGTAGAACTTCAACTGAATTGCTAAAAATAAAGCAAATGGGCAAAGCAGCTTTTTTTTTTTTTTCCTTTTTTAAAATGAGTCATAGAAGTGCTAAGTATGAGAATGAGTAAAAATGTTCAAGTGAGAATTTTTCCTCTACCCTGACTCCATCCCTGTGGTTCTGGGGTTTGGACCTAGGGTCTTATTCATACTAAGCAAATTCTTTACCACTGACCTATACCTTGAACCCAAGGCCAGCTTTTTCATCTAACCAAATGACATTATGTATAAATAAAGTAGAAATTTGCAAAAAAAAAAAAAAAAAAAAAAAAAAAGCAATTCCCCCGAAAAAAACCGTACTCTCAGCACTATCGTGTAGCAGTGCTTTATCTTGCCTTCCTTTCTCTGCACAGGTCAGACTGAACAGACAGCAGAGAGGACAGAGCAAGCAGAGTTATCTCTGTGTGGTGATAGCCTGGTTTAGAGTAAGAGCTGCAGCAGGGTAAAGGATATCCAGTCAGCAGGGTAGCCTAACTTGTGTGTCAGTTCCTGAAAGAATAATAAAGGCCTACCCAAGTTGAGCTAGCAGGCATGGGTGTCTGGGCCTTAGTCAGGAGAACATGAAGGACGGGCAGATTTGGAAATTTATAGATGTAGGTTCAAGCACTTTGAGTTGCACAGCAAATAAGAGAAGTACATGTGACTCAAATGGAGAATAGCCTGTTCAAGAAAGCTAGAGTGGCAGGAGGAGATAAAAGGATGGAGTTGGAGAGGGCAGGGGAGGAGGAAAAGCAAATGGGAAAGACTAATTTTTTGTGTGCCTAGAAGAATTCAGTAGGAGAATTGACAACAAAAGAGAAAAGAGAAAAATGGAGACACCAGAATCCTAGAAGATGGGCAGGGGAGGGAATCAATCACGTTCTTAACTGCAATCGTTGAGTGGGACACCTTAGTTTTCCTAGGTTTTGCCCTTATAAGCAATGCTGTAATGAGTAACCAACCAAGGTCTTAAAAAAAATGAGCATGAGGGGCTGGAGAGATGGCTCAGAGGTTAAGAGCACTGACTGTTCTTCCAAAGGTCCTGAGTTTAATTCCCAGAACCACATGGTGGCGCAGAACCATCTATAATGAGATCTGGTGCCCTCTTACCTGCAGGCACAAATCCAGACAGAAAGCTATATAAATAAATCTTTTTTAAAAATGAGCATAAGAAGTTTGTGAATAGGGTAATGTATTTGCTTATAGCTGCCTCTCCACATGTATGTATATATTCCCCCAAAAGTGCTCCCTTTGAATAGTATTCTGGGTTGTTGATTGTTGGCAGGATATGACTTTTAGAACTGAGAAAAACAATTGTAAATAATTACAAGGACTGGATTGTACCTACTTAGTAATTTTTTTTAGAGAATCATTTTACAAAATTATGACGTGAAATATTTCTATAGACCCACTGTGAGAAGCTCACGTTGGCAGGACCCGGTATGTAAAGGCAGTGGTCAGCCTGTGCTGCATTCTTAGAGGATGTGCTTAGCATACAGAGCAGGAAACTAAACAGAGCCAGCATTCTTGCTGAGAGTCTTCCATCCTCTTCTGTGTGTGGGAAAGTTCAGGAATTATTCCTGTTTCCTTGGTCTTTACGAGCTTGAATCTCAATAGTAGCTACACCATATTCCTGCTGTCTTATTCCTCTTAGGAAATTAAATTTTAAAATAGTAAAGTTAAAAAAATTTTTTTGAGATAATTTTATACTATAGCAGAAATTAAAAACAAAAATAGATTATGCATTGTGGTTCCATACTCTTTTTGCTTGTGACAGAACAGAAGGAATTTCTCTCATACTTGTAGTTTTTGCCTGTACATTTCTCCCTGCACATGTATCCTGATTTGATAGGTTCAGAAAAAAGTTTCAGTAGGTTTGCGATGCTGTGAAATCATATAAGGATAGACTTGGTCTTGTCATTTGTTTTAAACTTTTGTTTGGAGAAAAGAAGATAGAAATATTTCTTTGTGGAAATTTGTTTCCTTTTATTTTGGAGACAGGTCTCACTTTAGTCAGGGCTGGTCTAGAACTCACTGTGTATCCAGGGTGACCTTGAATTTAAAGCAGCCCTTCTCTCAGCCTCCTGAATGTCGGAATTGTAGGCATACAACAGCAGGGCCGGCTTTTATTGCACATTCATTGTGTTGTATGTTACCAAGATGCTTATATGTGATGAGCATTAAAATTAATAAAAAAAACACCATTTGAAAATGGTGGTGTTTAAAGCTTATATTTTATGTGTCTTCTTTTAAGTCATCAACACACAGTGTTTATTAAATACTCATTGATATTTAAATGTTTCAGAATAAGGAAAAAGTAAAGGGCCTCAACTTCCTGAGTAGCTGGAATAACAAGCTTGTGCTACTATGCCCAGGACAGACCTTAGCTTTTATATGTGCGTATTGATAGCACATGCTTACAGTTTTTATATTTTTGAGATAAATTAGGCTTGTGCTCTCAGTATTTTTCTTGCAACTTGATTTTTTCATTTAACACTTTTAATTTTATATTTTATATATTATGAGTGCTTCGCCTACTTGTATGTATGTCCACCATTGGTGTGCCTGGTACCTGCAGAGATCAGAAGAGGGCATTGGCTCTCACAAAGCTGGAGTTATAGACTGTGGTGAGTTACCATGTAGGTGCTGGGAACCAAATCCTAGTCGCCTGGAAGAGCAGCATGGGCTCTTAATCACTGAACCAGCTCTTCAGTATCTGTAATATGATTTCTTGATAGTGTTTATTTGTGTGTGTGTGTGTTTGTTTTTAAATAGGGGTTTCACTGTGTTGCTCTGGATAGTCTGTGATTGGCTATGTAGACCAGGTTGGCCTTGAACTCAGATTTGCTCTATTCTGCCTCTTGAGGGCTGGGATTAAAGGTGTGTGCCACCCCATCTAGCAGACTTTATACCTATGTAAAGAGGACACCTCCCTCTCCTGTATGACATATTATGTATTTGTGTGTGGGAGTGCAAGAACGTGTGTGCGATAGCATGAGAGTTGAGGTTGTCTGTCAGTCCTTACCTTCTGTCCTGTTTTATCTGTACTGTTCACTGACGGTCTTCAAGCTTCCGGATATCTCCTGCTTCTGTTTTAGGAGCACTGGAATTGCAGACATGTACTACCTCGCCTGGCTTTCCATGGGATATAAACATTTTATGGGATATAAACTCAGATCCTCACACTTGCCTGGTGAACACTTTATCTTCTGAACTATATTTCCATCCCTTTGTTACCTTTTTCCCCTTTGATGGATGTACTTCCCATTTCCCTTATTTATATTGTTGAACACCTGGTTGGCTCCACGGCTATTGTTGTTAACGGTGTTGAGTAGAATTGATGTGCAAATGTCTCTGTGGTGGATCACCTTGGAGTTCTTTGGGTGAATACCTCTGAGTGATATAGTGGGGTTATATGGTAGACTTTTAGTTTTTTGAGAATTCTCCATGTGGATTTTTACAGAGGCTGGGCTAGTTTGCATTCCTGCCCCAGAATATAAGGGTTCCCTTTTGTTCATTCTCACTAGTGGTCGTTATTTGTTTTCTTAATGATTGCCATGCAAACTGGAATAAGATGGAATCTCAATGAGTTTTTGTTGTTCTATTTTTAAATTAATTTAACTTTTGTTTTATTTGAGACAGAGTGTTATCATGTGTTCCTGGCTGTCCTGGAACTTAATAGGTAGATGGCCTCAAAACTCAAAGAAATCTGCTTACCTCTGCCTCAGTGAGTTTTTCTCTGCGTGTTCTGATAGCTAGTTCCATCTGCTTATTTTCTACAATGCTTAAAATTTTTAACATAATATTGCCAACTTATATTTTCAGGAGAGAATCATAATACACATCTATATTTGGATTGGATAAAAATAATTTTTTATATCTACAACTCAGTTTCTAGTGTAAAAAAAGTACATGTAGGGGCTAACAATTATGGATAATTAATGTAAATAATATAAATATGAATTAAATCTTCCCCCACCAGCAATTTTTTTTTTCTTTTTGAGACTCGTTTTCGTGAAGCCCATACTGCCCTTGAACTCCCTATGTAGCAGAGATTGCCCTTGAACTCTTGATCCTTCTGCCTCTACCTTCTAAATGTTGGGGTTATAGATACATATTCCACACCTAGCTAAGAATTAAATCAGGTGACGGGGGGGGGGGGATTGATAAATATCCAAACCAAGAATATTTAAAATTCAAGGTTGCTTTAGTTTGAAGAGAGTCCCTGCTTGCTTTTTTTGTTTTTATGTCTGAGAAGAAAAATCATAGATAGAAATAAATAGAAAAAAAATGCCTGTTTTTGATCCTTGGTGTTACTTAACAGTTTCAGTAATGGTGAAGGGAAAAGGAAAGGCATAGGAAACATTTTCATGTTTGGCACATTGGAATGTCTGTAGTTTGTGTGTGCCCATACACCACACACATATATACACATACAAAATAACAGTATGAGAAAATATGAGTTGAAACCCTGACCCAGGTGGAGTCTCATGTAGAACATTATTACTTCATTATATCATAAACTTGGAATCTTAGCAGTAATGAGTTGGATTGTTTTGTTATTTGCTTTTTTGAGACCGGGTTTTTCTATGTAGCTGTGGTTGTCCTGATATTCTTTCTATATAGACAGGCTGGCCTCCTAACTCACAGAGATCTGCCTGCCTCTGCCTCCCAACTCCTGGGATTAAAGGCCTGCTCTGCCATGTCTGGCTGTAAGTTTTGTATCTTGAGATAAGGTCTTAATGTCTTTTACAGTAAAAAATATTGTGGGGGGGCTCACATATGTTCAAGTGTATATGTGGGCGTCAAAGGCAGCTTTCAGGAGTTGGTTCTGTCCCTCTGCGTTCTGAGGGTTGGACTGAGGTTGTCAGATTTGGCAGCAAGCTCCTTTTCTTGGTAAACCATCCCACCCTAGACAAGGACATGCTGTGTTCCAAGAAATCACCATGAAGCCTAAGTCAGCATTCAGCCTTTAGTTTTCCTGTTTTAGCTTTCCAGAGCTGGGATCACAGGCAAGTGCCACTGTATCTGAATTCCAAAGCCTCATTTTAAACACAGGAGGTAATGAATGGAGTTATAGCCTAAGAAGTAGTATAAACCAAAAATATAGATTTATTAACACCGAGTAAACGCTTTTTTTCTTCTTTTATAATTTTTCCCTCTACCCAGGTCAGCCATAGTCCTGAACCTCTGAAGGCTGTAGAACAGGAGGTGAGAATGGTGATTCAGAACATTTTGCAAAAAGTAAACAGAAGAGATTAACTATTGGTTACTTTCTCAAACTGCTATTCTTCAGATATCACATGCTCTGTTTGGAAGACTATTGATGTTATTCTCTGAAATACAGAAGAAAATAATTTACAGTGGTTGCCAGGGCTTTACTGTGACTATAATTTGCTCCTCCTTCAGAGTAAGCATTTTGAAACTTAAAAATGTAAGTGCATTCTGTGAAAAATTCAGTGTTTCCATTTATCCAACTCTGGGTAAGAAATTTTGCACAAATTCTTTGCTTAGGGCAGGGTATACATCGCTGGTATAGCCTTGGGGACAGCCAAGGTATCATTTTTACCAAGGGCTACTTCTACTGCTTAATAGTTTTCTTCAGCTCTACTCAGGGCCCTATTCAACTTTGTTCCCAGAAAAACTATGAAGAGTGCTGCTTGTCCAACTTGATATGCTAAGTACTCCAGAAGATTGCCCATGGTCTAGGTCAACAGTTAGCCCAGGTCCATGAAAGCCTCAACATTGAAGTGAAGCAGGGTCCTCCTCTTTCGGAAATGTCCTCAAAAGTTAGGTCATTCCTGTCTTTTCTTTAATGACCTGAATTTATACCAGATTTATTTTAACTATCTGTGTCTAAAGTTTTGACTCTCCATGTTCCTTTGAGTCACAGACTTTTATGGGAATCTCATTACACAAAATTCTTTCTTAAACAACAACAACAACAAACATATGTTCTCAGAACCTAGTCACTGTGCTGTGGAGTTGTGAACCAAAAGAGTCTGTACCAGTTGCTTTCAAGGCTGAATTTTACTTGGGGAGAAAGTAACATCAGCATAAAATTACAAGGTGGCAGGTGTTACAGCTGGGGATTTCATTTGGGGCTGGTTACTTCTTCCTTTCATCCAGTTTAAAAGTTTAAATCTAAAATGCAGAGAGGCTGAGAAGAGAGATAGCATATGGATATTTATAATTTCAGTGCTGGAGGGATGGGTAGACAGAGCCATCTCTAGGGCTCATTGGCCAGCTAGTCTTGCTTGTTTTATACCTGACAAATGAGCTACCCTGCCTTTAAAAATACAAAAACAAAGCTGGGTGTGGTGGCACATGTCTTTAATCCTAACACTCAGGAGGCAGAGGCAGGCGGATCTCTAAGTTCCAGGACAGCCAGAGAACCCTTGCCTCGAAAAACCAAAAACAAATACAATTACTTAGTTTGTTTTCTGCACATATACACAGACACATGCATACATACTCATACAGAGAATAAAAGACAGACAAAAGCTATATTCTTCCCTTGATTAGTTTCTCTCTTTCCATCCTTCCCTCCTTTCTCTCTCCTTTCTTCTTTGTTTGTTAGTTACTTTTTATCTTATTTTTCTGAGACAGGGTCTCTATGTAGACCTGGCTATCCTGGAACTTGCTATGTAGACCAGTCTGGATCCCCACTGCCAGTGCTTGGATTAAAGGCATGAGGTACTATGCCCGGGCTCAGTTAGTTGTTTATTTCAAATGAAGTTAGGCAAATTATTTATGAAGATATTACACTGGAGCACGTAGCAATTGTAAATTGTCTTTTTTTTTTTTTTTTTTTTTTGGTAAATTTTTTTTTATGGGGTTTTTTTTCTAAGGCTGTTAACATATACCTGTTCTGGGGGGTTGGAGAGATGGCTCAGAGATTAAGAGCGCTGACTGCTCTTCCAAAGTTCCTGAGTTCAATTTCCAGCAACCACATGGTAGCTCATAACCATCTATAGTGAGATCTGGTGCCCTCTTATGGCGTGCAGGCAGAAAACTGTATAAATAATAAATCTTAAAAAAAAAGACCCAACATATACATGTTCTGTACAGCACTGATTGTGACACATATATGAATGAAACAACTGAAAGTGTTCTGAAAGGCTTCTAGCCTCTTCCTCTTTTGTTTTTTGAGACAGGGTTTCTATGCGTAGCCCTGGCTGTCCTGGAAAGCTCTGTAGACCAGGCTGATCCGGAAATCGGAGGTCTACCTGCCTCTGCCTCCCAAGCATTGGTATTAAAGGTGTACACCACTACACCTTAAGATTTACTTATTTTTATTTATATTGACTGTATGTATATACATACAACAGTACATGTGTGCCTGGCATCCACAGAGGCCATGATAAGCACATTGGATGCCCTGGAACTAGACTTATAGGTGGCTGTTAGCTGCCATGTGGGTGCTGGGAATTGAACCTGAATTCTCTGGAAGAACAGCCAGTACTCTTAACCACTTAGCCACCTTCTAGTTTCTAGATTTTTACTAGCTTCACAAGAAAAACATCCAGTAGGAAATATCCTAGAGATTGGTTTTACTCTGATGTTACAAAGGAGACAAATAGTAAGGACACTTAATTTTTTTTGCTTCATGATAAAAACAACATTACATTTACTTTATTATTTATTTATTTATTTATTTATTTGTTTGTTTGTTTGTTTGTTTGTTTTTGGGACAAGGTCTCATTATGCAGCCTTTCTTGGCCTGGAACTTGCTATGTAAACCAGTTTGACTTTAAACTCAAGGATAGTCAAGGATAGCTCTGCTTGCTTTATTTTATTTTATTCAGTTTTGAGGTAAGGTCTCTATGTAGTTCAAACCAATCTTAAGCCCAATATCATCCTGCCTCAGCTTTCTAGTATAAGCCACCATCCCAACTCCCGTATTTAAGTATGTGGTTTTATGTATATTGTTAGCTATGTTTATATTAATATAAAACGTCTCTGAACTTTGTCTTGCCAATCTAAAGCTCTAGGGTTGGATATGGTAGCTTCTACCTATAATCCCAGCACTTGGTGAGGCAGCGGCAAGAGGCTCTCACCTGCATCAAACATTGTATTATTGGCTTCTCATCAAAGTGCATTTTTGCTCTTCAAAGGAATTTTGTCATCACAGCCTGGAATCCCAGAAAATGGGCTCCTTTGAAAATGTTCCCCCTCAAATTTAGAGCAAAAGCCTTGTTGGAGCTCATGCCGTATCCTTGAGAACCAGCTGACAAAGAAATACAGCCTACACAGTGAGCTATTTTAAGGAGTGTAAAATATTTTTATGTGGCGAGAGTATGAAGTGGAAGTTACAGATCTTAGGTTATTTGGTGCCCAGGGCAACTCAGAGGTGCGTGGTCTTCCTCTAAGGTGTAACTCATCACTCTTCTGAACCCTGACATGCTGTGCTCCTTTCTTTTAGGTTTGCCTCTTCCCTAGCTCTTTGATTCCATGCTTTCTGGTACACAAATATATTCAGGAGGTAGATTTTTGCCAAACTGTTTATATTATGAACTCTTTAGTTATTAAAGAAAATTTTATTTATTTTGTATACAGTGTTCTGCCTACATGTAACACCTGTAGGCCAGAAGAGGGCACCAAATCTTATCATAAATGGTTGTGAACCACCATGTGGTTGCTGGGAATTGAACTCAGGACCTTTGGAAGAGCAGCCAGTGCTCTTAACCTCTGAGCCATCTTTCTAGCCCAAGAGAAAAATCTTAAGGTGAAAATAACTAGGCATTCAGGCTGGAGGTATTAGTAGCTAGAATGATAGATAAGAGGAAGGAAAAACAAATCACGGTGACTTCTTAAAAATTTTATTTATTATTTATTAAAACTTTTTAAAAATTATCTATTTACAAAATCTTCTTGATTCTCTTCTCCCCCTAGACCCCAAATTACTTGAACGGTATAATCCTTTTCTCTGTAGAGATGAACTTGGTTAAGAAGTCTCTAGAGCAGTAGTTCTCAATCTGTGCATCACAACCTCCTTTGGGGTCAAATGTTCCTTTCACAGGAGTCCCTTATCAGATATCCTACATAACAAAATTACAGTTATGAAATAGCAATGAAAATAATTTTATGGTCACAGAGTTAGGAAGGTTGAGAAGCACTGCTCTCGAGCTTTTGTAATATACAGTCTTATTTGGTTTAAGAGCCTCAAACTTGGTTGGATTAGCAACACAGGTAATTTATATTTTTTTACAAGTGTATTAAATTTTAAACCTTTAACACATGTTAACCATACATTTTATTTTTTTTCATGAAGTGTACATCAAAGCAAGACAAAGTTCCTGCTGGAATGGTGGTGGCTCTTACTTGTTGCACTGTGACTCTCTGGATGTAGACACATGAAGTCAGTTTTCCTGACTCAGCTCCTAACAGGCTACTTTGCTTAACTTTGCAGATCTGTCAGATGCTTTTATGTCAGGTGCCAGCCACCACCCCAGGGAATTAGGGATTGTTTTATTTGGGGTAGGTAGGAGGTAATAGGGAGAATTTGTTTCTTTCATTTGTTTTCATTACCATTGGAAATGAGTTCTGTACTTGAGATCCATAGAAGAAAATAATTGGCACAATTCAGCTAATTTTATTACATGTGGTTTATATTATATTGGGTCATGTCAAACAGTTTAATAATGTATGGGTAGCTTTGAGTTACTAAAAAGTGTGAATAGTTTTCTTTTCTTTTTTTTGACCAAAACTTTCTCTCAAATCAAAAGAGTTCATCTAATTATTTACATTTAAATTTGTTTAGAATTTACCCTTTCCTTTATCATGGGAAGAGTAACAAGATATCATAAGCAAAGAAAAATTATATGCTACCCACAGTCATTTTTCATGCTTTAAAAAAAACACAACCTTTGGGGCTGGTATTGTACCCTACAGTTACAGTACCAGCTGAGTTAGGAGGACTATCCCAAGTTCAGGGCCTGCCTGAGCTATATAGATTCAGGCCAGCTGGCATTATAGAGTGAAAGAGTGAAACCATGTTTCAAAAAACCAAAAATCAAAGCAATGAAAAGAACCCATAATGCATCTTAGGCAAGCACTGGCACAAGGCTATACCCCTGCCCTTCAACATCTCTGTCCTGCTCCCCTCCCATTTCTTCTGCCCTTTCTCTTTTTGACATCACTGGCTTAGACTAGCTTTGAACGTAAACCGGTTCTTTTGCCTCAGTCTCCTGAGTGCCGGCACTGGATACCACAACATTTTTAAGTGTTGCATAGCATTTTGTTGTATGGTTTTACTTAAAAATAGCTTATTCTTTCTCATTATGGTGCACTCAAATTATGTGTATGATGCCAGGATTAAACCTAGGGTTTCATATGTGTTAGGCAAGCACTAATATATACACCCTATAAATAATTTCAATCTTTTATTTCAAAATTTCTATCTAGAAAATTTTCAGCCAGGTGTGGTGGCACATGCCTTTAATCCCAGCACTTGGGAGGCAGAGGCAGGTAGATAGCTAAGGTCAAGGCCAGCCTGGTCTACAGAGCAAGTTTCAGGACAGGTAGAGCTACACAGACCCTGTCGAAAGGGGGGGACCTCATGTTTGTCTAGAAAAGTATTTTTTTTTTAAGATCCGTTGTATTATTATTGACTATATATGATGTCTGTGTGGAAGGACACATATGCCTCAGCATGCATGTGGTGGTCAAAAGACAACTGCAGAGTCAGTTCTGACTTTCTACCGTGGCTTGGGTTCCAGAGTTGGAACTCAGATGCTCAGGCCTATTTACACAGTAAACCCACTAAGCCAGTGGCTCTCAACCTTTATACCTCTGTGAGCCTTTAATACAGTTCCTCATGTTGGGGTGACCCGTAACCATAAAATTATTTCTGTTGCTACTTAAAAGTGTGTTTTGCTACTATTAAGAATCTTAATGATTATCTGATACATAAGATATTTGATGTGACCCTTGTGAAAGGGTCGTTTGACCCCCAAAGGGGTCACAACCACAAGTTAAGAACCATTGCGCAGGCTGGAGGTTAAAAAGCACTGGCTGTTCTTCCAAAGGTGTCCTGAGTTCAGCTCCCAGCAACCACATGCTGGCTCATATCCATCTATAATGAGATCTGGTGCCATCTGCACACATGCAGAATGATATATTAATAAAGAAATCTTTTTTTTTTTTTTTTAAGAACCATTGCACTAAACCATTCACTGGCTCAGTGGGATCTTTTTAAAGCACCCAGCAATTTACAGATGTCTACTCTCAGTGATTCTTTTTTCCTTTTTAATATAACTGTGGGCAAGTTTATTTCTTAACTTATATTTGAGGTATCTTAGAATAAATTACTTGCTTTAAATTTTTCTTACTTTTATTTGTAGGATGAACTTTCTGATATTAGTCAAGGTGGATCCAAAGCTACCACTCCAGCTTCAACAGCAAATTCAGACGTGCCAGCACTTCCTCCTGACACTCCCTCAAAAGAAGATAATGAAGGATTTGTAAAAGGCACAGATACACCAAATAAGTCAGAGATAAGCAAACACATAGAAGTACAGGTTGCCCAAGAGACTAGGAATGTGTCTACAGGTAAGTGACTCTAAGTTTTTAGCAGCAAGTGTTCAGTCAGCCCACATGATCATGAGAAAATACCGAGAGGTGTTACCTGCTCTAAATACATAAAATGAAGAGATCATCTGTTGTGTTCAACTGTAAATAAGTTTAAAAGAAGTAATGCTTAGGCAGAGTTTTGGAGAGAAGAATGTTAGGGACTAACATTAAAGACAGCAAGGTAGCCATTTCCTGTCCTCTAATATGATAGTCTATTTGTGTTCCATCCTCTTTAAGAAGGTTTGTTTGTTTTTTTTATAATGGGTCTTACTATGTTGTAGCATTGAACTAAGTGGTCCTCATGCCTTTGCTTCTAAATATCTGGGGCTACAGGCATGTATAACCATGCCAGTACTCCCCCTCCTTTTTTTTTTTTTTCCCCCTTTTCATGTAGCCTAGGCGAGCCTCAGGCTCACTATGTAGCCAGGTGTGACCTTCAACTCCTGAACCTTACTTTCCATGTGCCTGAGATTACAGGCATGAACCAGTATCTCGGATGGTTGGCATCCTGCTCAAATAGGAGTGAAATTAGTGCCTTGCTATGTTGTACTCTGTGTCCCAGAAATAGAAATGAAAACATTAGTTTTGGTTACTTATAGTTCTGGAGACAGACTGTTAACTCAATAAGTGATATTGTCTAACTTCAAGTTTCCCAGAACATGTTTCAGAGCCTTGAGAGTTTTAAAAAATGTTCATTCAGTAGTTGTACTTAAAACCACAAAGGCAAGAGTTTTCATAAGTACATAGAATATATGCATTTATTTAATCGTATTTCTACCCTTAGACTCTGCTGAAAATGAAGAGAAATCAGAAGTCCAAGCAATCATTGAATCCACTCCTGAATTGGATATGGACAAAGACCTCAGTGGATATAAAGGCTCAAGGTACTGAAAAATGTCACACTCCATGAATATTTTTATTTTTCTCATTCCCATTAACATTCTGATCTTGTTTTTGAGTAAATAAGATCAGTTCATGTTGTGCTATAGAAACTGGTACTGTAATTCAGTTTCTGCCTCTGAAGCTGCGTAATTGGGGGAAATTCGTCAGGCAGTATTAGTTATTGGAACATAAGGGAGGATGGGTTTTTTTTTCTCCATGTTGCTGCAAGAGTAGCTGATGTTGCATCCTTTATAAAGAAGAGAAACATTTCTTCTTAAGTCTCAAGCTAGGAAGTCCAGGATCAAGGCCCTGACTGGTTCAGTTGGCCAGTTTGGCTGTTCTTTGTTTCCAAGACAATGCCTTCTTGCTGGATCCTTGGGAGGAGAGGAAAAGGCAGGAGAATAGACTAGCTTAATGCTACATGTAAGTGTATTCTATTTAGAACTGTAATGATCTCATTTTAGGGAATTTAGACTCATTTTACATGGGAAAATTGTTTAATGATAGCAGGAGAATGGATAGATAGGTTTTAATCGGGGTTATTCAGAATATATTGATGAGAACTGAATTTTGAGTTTCCTCAATAGATTCACCTGTAATGAATAATGGCCATGAGCACCTATCATTTATTAATTCCTAGTGAGTATTCAGTACCATGAAGCAATAGTTAAATGCATGGGGCCTAGGATAAGCATGACCCTAGACAGAGAAAGACTTACATGAGTTAAACTCTTGCTTCTCTGTTCTTTTTTTATTGCAACAGGGCTAGGGATTATACCTAGTACCATTCATCTTTTCATTCACTAAATTTTGTTATATCTTAATTTTACTTAAATTATAATTTACTTACTTGGGTGTTTTGTTGTTGTTGTTTTTTGTTGTTGTTGTTTGTTTGTTTTGTGCAGGTTTGGCTGTCCTGGACCCACTTTGTAGACCAGACTGGCCTCAAACTCACAGAGATTCACCTGCCTCTGCCTGCCCGAGTGCTGGCCCGAGTGCTGGGATTAAAGGCGTGTGCTACCACACCTGGTGCTAAATTAGAATTTATTATTGACTTGAGTATTCCTATCCAAGTATCCTATCCAACTTAGCCATAAAACAAATTTTCTTTGGATGCTTTGTGTTTTCCTGGAATTGGTGAACTCATGAATGGTTAAAAAAAAATTTTTGTAGTGTTTCATGGACTTACTGCTAGCATTACCAGACACTGCATTTCCTAAATGTAAGATCCTCAGTGTGACCATACGCCAGCTCCAGATGTTTTGCAGAGCTCTGTTCCTCGGCCTTCTAGGTTCTTTCTCATGTAGACTATGGGGTTTCCCTAGTTCTGCTGCTTCAGGAATTCCCTACAGAGAAGCAGGACACCAAGGCTCTTTATTATGTGCTGGCTCAGGTTCTATGGGAGACTCCCCAAAAGCAGAGCCCGAAGAACAATGGCTTTGAGTCTTTTATGCATTTTTTTTTTTACTTCTTTGTCCCCCGAAACTAGTATTTTAAACAACCAGGCAGGGATACAAAAAAAAAAAAAAAAAAATCAGTATAATCAAAGGGAGGGAGATGGGGTATGCATAAAAGACCAGGCAAAGTACCACATATACTCAAGAACACAGACTAGCCCACACTGTGTGTTACTTTGTTTTCCTCTCCTTGGCACTTGAAGACCTCTACTACGTTGCCATATGCCCTCAATACCTGGGAATCTCTTCAGCTTTTTTTTTTAATTTATATCCCAAGGGTGCCCCTCCCTCCGCTCTCCTAGTCCTTCCCTTCCCCTTTTTCTTCTTCCTTTCTCCCTTCCCCCCAGAAAAGAAGAGCCACTCTCTCTCAGTATCGTCCTTACCCAGCACATCAAGTCACATCAGGACTGAGCACATCTTCATCCCCTGAGGCCAGGCAAGGTAACCCTGCCAGGAGGAAGTTATCCAAAAGCAGGCAATAGAGTCCATGTTAAAAACAGCTCCCTTTCCCCTCCACTGGCCAGGCAACCCATATGAAGACCAAGCAGCCCATCAGCTACATTTGCACTGGGGGCCTAGTTCTAGATCATGCATGCTCCTTAGTTGATGTCTCAGTCTCTGAAAGCCCCCGTGTGACTGGGTGAATCTCTTGACCTTTATTTCCTGTATCCATGTCATCTGCTTTTTGATATATAAGAGTTTACTCCTTACTAGCTTTCTGAGTCTTTGAAGAGTACATGAACAGTACTTTCTGAGGACTGAAATTAAAAATGATAAATATCGTTTATAGACATGCTTCATAGTTTGGTTGTTTGGCTTAGATACACAAGTGTAGATTAGAAAACACTTTGAGAGTTGTGAAGATGCTGCTTCCTTGTCACACAAAGCTGCGTTTGGTTGTTTAGTTTTTAGACACAGAATCTTACAGTATCACCCTGGCTGGCCTTGCACTAATGATCCTCCTCCTTGGCTTCCTGGATTCTGTGATTATAGACAGCTGATACCAAGTTCAGTTTCACTTGACATTTTTTCCTTTCTGTTCAGTGCTGAGGACTGAACATAGGTCTTCATATACGCTAGGCAGGTACTCTATCACTGAGCTCACCTTCATACCCCTTTAGAATTTTTTTCTTTTTTAAATACAGCTTTCCATTTTTTATATTATGTTTTTATTTTTTGAGGCATGGTCTCAATTGCCAGGGAGGCTTTGAACTCCTGATCTTTTGGCTTCTATCTCCCAAGCTTAGGGATTTTACCACATTCAGCTTTCTCCTCTTCCTCTTTTTTTTTTTTTTTTTTTTTTTTTTTTTTTAATAGAGATAGGGTTTCTCTGTGCAGCTCTGGCTGTTCTGGAACTCACTGTGTAGATCAGGCTGGCCTCAGAACTTAGAGATCCACCTGCCTCTGCCTCCCGCCCGAGTGCTAGGATTAAACGTGTGCACCACCACTGCTTTCTATTCTTTTAAAAAAATTTTTATGAACTTGTACTTTGTTGTAGGGGGCCTTCTTTTGTATTTTTCTTATATGAAGTAAGTCTTTCACCTGAAAATTGCTCTCTTAGTTTTGAATAGTTCTCTATTTTTTTCTTAATGTTTTTTCCTCATTTCTGCACACCTGTCAGGACATACTGAACCTACTAGACTAAACTCTGTCCTTTTCCCCTTTAAATCTTAGGTCTAATTTCTGGCTGATTCTTTTAATAAACTTCATTGATTAAAAAAAGTTTCAACTTTTTCTTAGGTAGTTGCTTGTTTTATATTTTTTAAAAAATTTATGCATATGAAGTTTTGCCTAAATGTATGTGTATGTATGTACACCACTTGTGTGCCTAGTTCCTACAGAAGTCAGAGGAGGCCATCTCATTCCCTGAAACTGGAACTATAGGTGGTTTTGAGGTGCTGGAACAGAACCCCAGTCTGCTGCAAGAGCCATCCTTTGAATTCCTGTGTTGTGGAGTTCGAATCCACTGAGAGATTAGTGACTTAGACTCAATTAAAATTTAGATTAAATAAATTTATTCTTACTGCTAGCGGAAGATGGCAGACGTAAGGCCAGTACAGCGTGCTGTGCTGTGGAGAAGGGGGCTAAAGATGAGGTTTTAAGGCGGACATCAGAAAGGTGTGCATTACAGCTGTGCTTGGAATCCACAGCTGGGCAGGAAAATTGTTTTACTTCCCTCAGTTGCTTCTTACTTTCCTGCTATATCGTAATAAAAAGACCATTTATCTCTTTCCGGTAGTGATAAACAGACTTTACAGATGCAAAGGTAGCTACTACATCACTGTTATCTTATTCTCATCTCACCTGCAGGCCACTAGGATCTCCCAGGCTTTCCAGAGCAAAAGGTCAAAAGCCCTTAAGGGATATCTGTTTCCATATTAAGTTCTTTAGCCATCACAGGGGACCTGTGTAAATTATTACTCAAGTCTGAGCACTCTGGGATAGAGCAGTTCATTTCTGCTTAGGTAAAAACACATTATCACCATGATAGGGCTGACTCTCACACCCCCACACCTGAAGTTACTTTTATTTGTTTGGTTTTTTGTTGTTGTTGTTGTTTTTGTCCCTGTTTTCTGTTATTGCTGCTACTGACTACATTGTCTAGTAGTTCTGCTTTATTACAGTGTTCTCCCCATTCCCACCCCTTTGGTTTCAGCTCTCTCTTTTGTGTTAGAGTAGGTTTTAAATGTTTGCCACTCTGTGGCCTTTTCTGGTTACCTGCTTATGCAACATTTAAACTTGACTTCTAAGGGCTAGCAGTTGGCTTAATGGCAGACTGTTTGCCAGGTATGTGTGAGCTCCTGGATTTGATCTCCAGCATCAGGTCAAGTTGGGGCATTGAGGTCTGCTGCTGTTTGTTGTGAAGCCTTTTCTTCTGTTTGCCAGGCCCAATAGCATGTTGCTCCTATTTTCAAAGTATGTGTCAGGAGTTTTGACAGCATATCTTTCTTAAAATGAGAATGGGTTTGGTTTCAGCTTTCTTTGGTTCCTTAAGTTATTTTCCATTGTTAGTCCATTCCTTTTATATCTTGCACAAGTCTGTTCACATTTAGTTGTATTTGTGCTCTATTTTTAGTTGGGTTTTGAGCTATTAGTTTTGGTTTTTGTTTGTTTTGTTTTATAGTGGTATAGAGGGAATACTATTTTGAAACTTTTTATAAAAGGCTTTTATATAGTGAGTTTCTTTGGCTTATAAAGTTATATTTTAATGTTTTAAACCATAAAGTAAAATTTTTACTTTGGTATATCTCTCTAATTGACTTCTTTGGTCTCCTATTCATAGGCACTTAAATTATTTTAACGTTCTATCAGCAAAAAAAAAAAACAAAAACAAAAAACAAAAAACAAACACTCTTACTGTGTGTCATCATAGAACACGCCTTTAATCCCAAAACATGGGAGGTAGAACCAGGAGCATTCCTAGTCTAGTTTGCATCATGTGTTCCAGGACACCCAGTGCCACATAGACTCTGTCTCAAATAAACAAACTACTGTGACTGTCTTTTACATTCAAAATTGACTCTGTAATAAGGTTTCATGAGTTGGGGGGTGGGGGTTTAGTATTCTTATGTCTTTTTATTTATTTGGGGGGGTGGGCAGTATGTAGACCAGGCTGACCTAGAACTCACAGTGATCTGCCTGTACCAGAGTGCTAGGTGCTGAGAATAAAGGCATGTACTCTATCATTGCCTTCTTGTCTCAGTTTTAGAAAGACAAAAGTAAAAGCCATAAAACCTTGCTAATTTGTACCACAGTTCAGAGCAGCATAGTTAAGATTATTGATTCCATTGAGGCTGTAGCTTAGTTGGCAGAGTGCTTATTTAGCATGTCCTGAAGCCCGGGATTGAGCCCCAGCACTATGTTAACCAGCAATGGTAGTGCAGGTGCTATCAAATTTGGGGGGTCATAATCTGTGCCCCAAGTCAGGTCTGGCCACCCTCAAGAGCCAAGTGAAAGCTAAGCTGAAAGTAGAAAGCAGAAAAGGATTTATTCAATGTGGCCACATTGGGAGAGGAACAAAGAGATCCAGAGACCCCTCTCCCAATCTTCTTTGTGGTCCCAAAGTGAGATCCCCAAGTAGAGGGACAAGTGTGGTCTGGCCCACTATAGCTCCATCATTATGTGGGTTTCAGTCTCATCCTGTAAGGTGGTCTGACAAGCTGTTAGTAGTGTGTGAAATCTCTTTCAGGGAAAGAAGTTGCCTCTTTACCTGATATCTCTTCCTTCTTTGAGCATGAGTTTCCTGAGAAAATTCACATTTTTATGGGGTTTATTGTTTGAATAGTCTGATAGTCAGATTGGAGACATGAATGTCTCTTTAGACTATCTTCATTTCTGTCAGGTTGGTATATAATCCTGTCACCAGAGGATCAGACACCCAAGGGTCATCCTCAGTTACATAGCAAGTTTGGGGCCAACCTGGTGACACTAAACCCTGTCTTAAAAATAAGATAACAAAAGGGCCAGGTGGTAGTGGTAGACGCCTTTAATCCCTGCACTTGGGAGGCAGAGGCAGGCGCATCTTTGTGAGTTCAAGGCCCGCCTGGTCTACAGAGTGAGTTACAGGACAGCCTGGGCTACACAGAGAAACCCTGTCTTGAAAAACCAAAAACCAAAACAAAACAAAAACAGCAAAAGATCATGGATTCTGAAACAAGAATGCCTTAGTTTGAATCCTTCCTCCTTCACCTACCAGCTGAATGATATTGTCAAGTTCCTTAAGCTCTTTAGTTTCCTTATAAAATTGGGCTGATAGTAACATCTGCTTTGGGGAGTAGCTGTAAATAAAATAGATAATTTGTATGATACAGACCCAAGTAGCTGCCATTATTTTGTGTGCTGGGACCTCACAGTAGAAACATAATTCTCTGTACTCTCTATACTCTGTGGGAATTCCTTAGAAAACCACTGAGAAATCTTTTTATGTTAATATTTTGTAGTAAATGAAAACCATAAGTAAGAAATTTTTATGCTGCTTAATCATTATATTAAAAACACTATCAGAAAGTCTTTGTAATTTGTTGATTTGGCTTTATTGTTTTTGTTGCATAGCACTCCCACCAGAGGCATAGAGAACAAAGCTTTTGATCGCAATACAGAATCTCTCTTTGAAGAACTGTCTTCAGCTGGCTCAGGCCTCATTGGAGATGTGGATGAAGGAGCAGATTTACTAGGTATGACAGCTCCTCTGGAAAAGGACCATACTGTTTAAAAATACATCTCATTAATGACTTGATTGAAAATTCACTTAAAATGTCCCTGGCTGCCTGATGGTACAGGGTTATTAAACTTTAGCAATTACTTAGATCGTATTATTTGATATTATAAAAGTTTTAATGAAAAGTGTCTTTATGTATGAAAATGACAGATATTGAATTCACATTTAATTTTATATTTTTAATTTACATAATATAGTTTGTTGGGTTGCTATAGCCTAAGACTAGATTTTACACATAAGGAATATAGTACAGGGTGTGGGTGTGTATGCATGCACATGTATGATTGGTGGGTAGATAGTTCCTATTGAGTTCTGCTGACCTTGATTAAATAGAAAATTATAACACTTGAATTTTTTTAATTTTATATTCCCAGAGCATTATAATTTACCTCTGTGGAAAATACAGTCATTTTGAAGTTTGTGGTGAAAGCCTAATTTTTAGCCACTGCTGCTTTGTCATCCCCCTCTCCAAACACAGAAAGTTTGTGTCATTGAGCAAATAACTGGAGGAAAAGTACTATATTCAGTTCTTGCGCTCTACATTTTCTGAATGATCTTTCCCAAATTAATTAGCCATTTTGTCTGTCCTGTCATTTTATTGTGTTTAAATGAAGGAGCCGGCCTCTGTTCAGGGGTCTGGCAGATAGGTTTATGGAGTAAAGCCAGCTAACCTCTTCTATGCATCAATTAACTTTGACTGAAATAGTGCTCCCCAGCTGGCTGTGGTAGGGTACGTCTTTAGTCCCAGCCCTTGGGAGATAGAGGCAGGTAGACGTCTGTGAGGTCAGCCAGGTCTATAGAGTGAGTTCTAGGACAGTCAAAGCCGTTACACAGAAAAACCCTGTCTCAAAAACCAAAAAGAAAGCACGCAAGAACACACGCCCTCCTCTTCATTGTGTCTTACTGTCTCTGACGGCTCGCACTCAACAATGCCAAGGTCATGTAGAGATATGATACACAAAAGTGTAAATAGTCGCCATTGGCCCTTAAAGAGAAAGACTACCAGCCTGGCCTCTGGGGATCCAAGGTTCCTTTGGCAAGAATTCGGTCATTTCGGTTTCATATGAATTACTTTTTAACAAACCTTTCTTGTTGAAAACTGTGTAGAAATTGAAAGCCATAGAATTTTCAACAAGAAGGAAGGTTTCTTTGCCTGCCATTATACTAATTGACGACACTGCTCTCAAAAAGCTGTGCTTGCCAGGTCTAGTAAATATGGTGTGAAATGAACTGCTTACATTAATTTATGTTGTTTATTCATTATCAATTATGTGATGGACATTGTAAAATTTTGGGTTTTTTTTTTTTTTTTGCTTGTTTTTATTTTAAACTATTAAGTTCAGCCAGGCATAGTGGCATGTATTTCTAATTCCAGCCCTCAGGGTGTGGAGGGAGGGTGAACTGGGCAACATAGGAAGACCCTACTTCAAAGGGTTAAAAACACATCGGCTGGAGAGATGGCTCAGCAGTTAAGAACACTGACTTTTCTTCTAGAGGACCTGGGTTCAATTCCCAGTACCCACCTGGAAGGTCACAATTGTTCCAGGGGACCTGACACCCTCATACATGCAGGGTGTACATAATGTACATAAAATACAAAAAAAAATATTTTTTATAAAAGTTAAAAATAGTATGGCAGTATATGTCTTTAATCTGGACACACAGGAGGCAAAGACAGGTGGATCTCTGTGAGTTGAAGGTCAGCCTGCATTATATAGTCAGTTCCAGACCATCCAGAGGTATTCTATGAGACTCTATTTCAAAAAGCAACAACAAACCACAGAGCTAGAGAAATGGTTCAGGTGAAGAGCAATGGCTGCTCTTCCAGCTTCTACATGGCAGCTCACAGTAATCTGTAAGTCCAGTTCCACAGGATCCAGTGCCCTCATCTGGCCTCCATGGGCATTAGCTGTACAGAGATATACATGCAGGCAGAACACCTGAACACATATAACAATAACAACAACAATATACCTAGTAATCAAGATTTAAAAGTTTGTCAATTTAACTGTTTGTAGTTAAATGTAAGCTCTTACCATTAAAATCTTAAGTAAAACTTTGGAAGCATTATCGGGGTGTGGTGGCACGCACCTTTAATCCTTGGGAGGCAGATGCAGGTGAATCTCTGTAAGAGATCCAGCAGCCTGGTCTACGAATTGAGTTTCAGGACAACCATGGCTAAACAGAGAAACCCTGTCTCAAAAACAAAAAACAAAACAAAACAAAAAAAAACTTCGGAAGAATTCATTTAGAATTTCTCAAGGAAGACTCAGAAAAAATAGTTCTTGAGGAAACTATATTTATACCTTCATTTTCAGTTTCACATGAAAAAGTTCTTTGAAAGTTTGACTGATTGGGATGGCAGGATAGCTTGACAGCCTGAGTTCAACTTCAGGGCCCATATGATGGAAGGAGAGAATGGACTGCTGCAAGACATTTTCTGGTTTCACTGACACCATGGCATGCGCTTGTGCACACAGGCACACACGCACATGTACGCAGAGAGGCATAAGCAGAATAGAAAATGTAACAAAAGTGCAGTAAAGAGTTGATTGCCTTAGAAAACTTGACTCCCCAGCAAATTTAAGAACAAATTCAAAAAATGCTAGGAAGAATTTAAAATTCATTTTAAAAATACATCTTGAGATTTACACATAATAAAATTCACTATATTTTGAGTATAAACCTTTTTTTCTGATCTCTTAAAACTTGTTATTTTTTGAAAGTTTGATACATGCATATACTGTATTTTGACAACTTCCACTCCATTACCCTTCCACACGTCCCCTCCCTCTTCAACTTTCTAAGATGCTCCCCTTCGACTTCCATGTCTTTTGCGAGTTGCTGCATGAGCACAGGCTGCTTTTCAGTGGGTATACCGCTGATGGGAATGACACCCCACACCCAGCCACTACCTACCAGTAATCCTTCAGAGAGAGGGGAGCGGTCTCATGTGCCTGTGTTCCCTCCATGGTGAAGTGCTGATACGGTGTTGTGAAGTCTTATGCAGATAACCACAGCTGCAGTGAGTTCATGAGTGCAGTGGCTGTGTCATGTCCAGGAGACATCCTTTTCAGCACATCACCTTATCATCCAGTTCTTACATTCTTTCCACCCTTTCCTTGTTCCCAGTGCCTTAGAGGCTGGGATGTTCCATTTAGGGCTGAACGCTTCACCATTACTTTTTGTTGCAACTCTGGCAACTTAGGATCCTTCTCTCCTGCAGCTATTAGAAGCTTCTCTTTTTAAGAGCTGGGAGCACGAATCCAGTGAACTCTGAGCAAGAGTAAATTCTTCCTTCTTGAAATAGCCTTTGTCACGTATTAGTCTGCAAGGGTGTCACAGTGGCAGGCACTTGAGGCCGCTGAGTATGTTGCTCCCACACTTGGTAAATAGGGAATAAATGCTTGCTGAGTGCAGTATCTTCAAGTTTTTGACAGATTCTTAGGATTATATAACAACTGCCAGAATCACTGTCACTACAATCTTTCTGCTGACTTTTGCATGAAGTAGTGAGGAGGATGACTTGTGTACATTGTCTTGTAAAAGCCCAGTAGTATTACAGAATTTGAAGTCAGTTACCATATAGCTTTCTATTCCTGTAAAAATTAAGCCACACAGTAAATAGAAGTAATGGTGGTCTTTTAATTAAGTCAAATATTTTCTCAAAGTCAGAAAAGGCCTCGAACTCACAAGAGATCTGCCTTCCTCTGCCTCACAGTGTTAGAAATAAAGGCGTGCACCAACACCACCCAGCTCAGAAAATTAATTATAGCTTAAAAGCAAAAATCTTTGGCTTTTTTTCCATGCTGAAGATAAGGGGCTATCTTAAGCTATTTTTTCCTGCTTTGCAGATGTTGACATATATAGGACTAGAACATCTCAGATTATAATATTTTAATATATTAAGATGAATGACTTAGTCAAAGATGATAAATGAGGGTCAGGGGTGGAGCTCAGTCAATCGAGTGCTTGTCTAGCATGTGGGAAACCTGGGCCCAATCCCTACAATACTAAACCAGTCGTAATAGCACACACCTGTGATCCCAGTACTTTCAAGGTATAGACAGGACAATCAAAGTTTAAGTTTGTCTTCAGGATACATGAGACCCCACTTTTAAAAAGATGGCAAATGGTTTGTGTACAGTTCAGGGATAATAAAGCTCATCAAGGTATACTTGTGCCAGCCAAAGTGCTTCCTATTTAGACTAAGGCTGATGAATAAGTGCATAGTCTTTAACCCATAGTCAGTTTGCTAGGTTTTGTTATCAAGCTGTTGTTCTAGAATTAACTTTCCTTTAATCACTGTACATATGTCCAACACAGATTACTTTTTTTTCTCATTTTAATAATTGAAAGAGGTGATCCAAATCATTTTCCTTCCCCCCCCCCTTTTTTTTTTGAGACAGTGTTTCTCTGAGTAGCCCTGGCTGACCTGGAAGTCATTCTGTAGACCAGGCTGACTTTGAACTCAGAGATCTGCCTGCCTTTGCTGGGGTTAAAGGCATGTGCCACCACCACCTGACCTGGCTTCATTTTCCTTTTCATTGATTTCTCATTAACTTTTTTATTTAAAAGGATGACCCTTCTCTCTCTGGGTGCTCTATCTGCATTACACCTGCATGCCAGAAGAGTGCATCAGATCTCATTGTAGATAGTTGTGAGTCACCATGTAGTTGCTAGAAATTGAACTTAGGATCACTGGAAGAGCAGACAGTGCTCTTAACCACTGGGCCAACCCAGATGACCCTTTTCTCAATTACTTTCTCTTTAACTGTTCTCTATTACTTGGAAATCATACACTTGGTTTTCCATTTCCCAAGATGTTCTTTCTCTTTATTCTTGTGGATTTTAGCAGCCTTCCACCCCCAGCCCTAGCTATCTTCAGATATTCTTTTGCTTCAGCTTCTTGCTTCTGGGATTGTAGGTGTGTGCACTGTTACTGCATGTTTTTCT